AGTGAATCCAATTGTCCAGTTTCACTCAAAAGTACGATTCCACTTAATGTAATGGCAATTTCCTTTTCCTGTGTCCTATATATTTTTGCCGTTACTTTTACAGAAGGGTTGAAAAGTGATCCAGACGCAGACACAAACAGATGATTTTCCAGTCCTTAGTTGTGGTTTATGATGATGTTTATTCGTCTTTACATACCAGGGTTAATTTAGCGTTCTAGTGATTCGATGAGCATCTGCCGGGCTGGTGGAATCGGTATGCTCTTCTCCTACTGTGTCCCCTCCTCTCCTGTCACCTATGACCTCCTTATATACACCCGGTGCAGCTAAACCCCGCCACCCAGTGTTCATAAATAATATTGCACTATACATATAACTTAAATAAACTGACACACCAACATCACCCACAAAATGGCTCCTACACTTACCTTTGTTGTTTTCTGATCAAAAGTTGTCTTCAATGACATTAAAACGATAAAAACGATACTGAAGGTTAATCCATAGGTTAATCCAATGTGTCTGTGTCACTTTGAAATGATTTCTGATAATCCATCAGCAATAAATCTCGTTTTCAGATTTCAGAGCGTAAAATAGGTTTTGCTTTGGGCAAACTGCGTGCGCATAGCTCTCATTTCTCAATGGTAACGTGTGTGTGTATGTGGAAATTCCTCTTCGATTCTACTGGCTCTAACGGTTCAAAAGAGATGTCAATCATCAAAATCGACCAATGGGTTCCAGAGAAACGGCAAATACACCCATTTCCACCCAAATGACAGGTGGGTTTTTCTTTGCTAAACCTCTCTAAAAAGGTCAAATGTCACTTGTTTTCTATCAATCTTGATACAGGGTACTTATTATAGTATTACTACTAGTATTACTACTTATTATATTCTTATTTTATAGTTTGGATTCTTAAAGCTTTTAGTCTACTATCCCATCATTCAAGGGCGGTTTTCACTATAAGTAATGGTTTATTTTTGGACGGACACTATAATTTACATTGTTTTACTATGCTCAATCTGAATTTATTTTTAAAATAAAAAAAATCTATATTGATTCTGACTTTTCTACATCCAACTCACAACTCATTGCTTTCAGAAAAAGATTATTAATGTACCCCTTTTATAAGGGAAGTTATTGTCATTTGTTCTGGGAATGTCATTTTCTAGCCTGAGACCTGAAAAACAGGCTCAGGGCTCAACAGGTTAAGTTGTGCCAGAAATTTCCATTGTTCTTGTTGGCCAGCAGCCATTCCTTATGACAGGGTGTGGTTCAAATAACGCATTTGCATTTTTGTAGTCACAGACAGCCCTGTACATGTTTACTGTCACACCCTCTGTTCTGTCGTGTTCCCCTCTGCTACATTTCACTGACATTCAGTAACTTCCAAAAGCTTTTGACGGAGAACTCATATTCAAGCAGGCATTGCTGATATTATGTATAAATGCTTACAACATTAGCTGAAACATCTCATTATAATACAACATTGTTGATTCAGAAGAACTTATCGTGTACATTTTACAAACAAAAAGCCCTCTCGCAAAACTTTCATTTTGTGCAGCCAGTGGTTTTTCTCACCTTAACGGCTCATCTGACCAGATTTTGGCTGCTGGCCTTCTTTCCTGGAACATAAGATGTTTCATGTAATTCTGAACAGAAATGTAACAGCACTTTTTCTTGGCAATACCAGTGAAATTAATACTGCACTTCGCGCTAAAAGTCCTACCTCTTGCGCTGTCTTCACCTGAGTAATAGACAACTCCTTTGCCTGAATGATCAGCCCTTCCATGTGACGTCAATTCCTGTGAAAGCAGGTTTCAAGTTCAGACAAGAACAAACTTGCCTACGCCTTCTTTTAATGTCCTTTATTTTATAGAATAGAAAGATTCATCAGGCATAGAAAGCATTACTCGATTACAACTGAGAACATGACTGCCACAAATACTGATGAAATCAAACTCATAAATAAAATAAAACAATACAAGCTGAAGTGTCAGCATCAGGAATTACTTCAAAGCAGTTATTTGTAGTCAAGTAGAAAGTCATGGCTCTCACTGAAACTTGGCTGAGACCCAAAGAATATGTCAGCATACATGAAGCCACTCCTCCCAGTTCGTATCAAGTTTAGTCCTTAAAACTGTAATAAGTCATTATTGAAGGTGACTTCAATATTCATGTTGACGATGATATCAATAGCCTAAAGACAAGGGTTCGAGTTATAAACTGAGCTCTATGGAGGTCTTTAAAACTAACGTGCACGCACTCAAACACACACACACACGGCAGCAGCCCTCTACTTGCTACAAACTTAAATATGAAAATGTTCAACTACGCACACCACATAACACATCATCTTGGCTCGCGCAGCACGCTCACAGGCATAGATTGCGCAATAAAGTATTGCGCACCTTGGAGGTGAAGTGCAGGCATATTGTCTGAGAATGCGTAGTTCTTTTGGAAAACATGTTTTTCTTTAAGCCTATTTACCTTGTTAACGTAGTTAATAATACTCATTACATTGACAAATTGCATTATATGGGATTAAAATAATGGTTGTTGGTAATGTATTAGCGAACCCCACAGATGTATGATTTCACTGCGTCCGTGGGAGCTCAAAGCTCAAAATTGGCTCCCAGATAACTCAAACCCTGGGCTTAACTGGACAAGTGACTTTCATTTAGGAGCAGTTGGGTTAAACACGATAACAAAGGGTTTAATACACGAAAAAATGTTGCCGAATTATAATAGATGAGTGAGTGGGTACTTATAGAATGGCGACCAGCTCAAGGGGTACACGAGACAACAAAGGTTGGGAACCACTGCTTTAATGTTCAAAAAGCTCTTCATTTGTCTCATACTGCCTGTGCTGCAGCACCTCTTTTCACCCTCTGTCTGAAACCAGAGCCCAGTCTGCTCTGATTGGTTAGCTGGCCGGCTCTGTTGTGATTGGTCAACCGCTTAAAGATGTCCTGCTCCTTGGCCTATCATGTACAATATGTTGGAACGCTAGCCAATAGAAGCACTAGTGTTACATTTCCCTATGTTATGGAAATAAACAAACAAAATAAGAAAAAAAGTGAATCAGATTGACATGAATGGATGAGAGTCTGAAGAACTTGCAGATCTCATAACATATGTATATGCAGTGATGTGGTTGCTTGTATAAGACCAGTCTATCTTTGACGGTGGAAAAAGAGCCATAGCCAGCCAGCTTCACGTTCTACATGATTCTTATTCAAGTCTTATTCATGAGGCGGAGGGAACAAATGCATACTTAAAAGACGAGGTGAGGGAGGAGATCTGGACCCGCCTGTGAAAAACACACCGGGGGGGTACGGAGGCTTTAAGTTTGTCTCGTAAGTAGACTGAAACTCAGGGAGAAGGCCATCGAAGGGTTAAAATAGATTGCCTTATGGTGGAATATAGGTTAATATAGTGTATATTTAGGTGATGAATGAGAGAGTCTACTGGTAAAATGTAAGTAAATGATGTGCTTACTATGAGGTGCTCTCCATGGAGGATGGAACATGACATATATATATAAAAACAACAACATGAAAAGATTAAATACGGATAAGGGAACAAATAATATAATAATTGTTGGTATAAACAAATGTACAGATTATAAGGTTAGTTTTTTGTGAATAGTATATTGTAGTATATCTGTAATGGTGTGTTGAAGGTGCTCTTCTGAGAGTATCCTCAATCAACCTTCAAATAGCAGCAACAATGGATCACTGATGGACTAAAGAGAGCAGGCTGCAGAGAGAGGAAGAGCCTGTGTGTTTCAACCGTCACAAGTAACGAACATTAAGGTAAGACGGGTTTACCATCAGGATATCAAACATTATTCACAATTGTAAATGTATTATCTCTGCCTGGGTGTTGTAGTATTTGTTGTTGTCAGTCCCCTCAGGAGAGAAAGCTTCATGTTGTCTCCGTCCATATAGTCAGGTGTCAGCAAACACAACCAGCAACATGTGGTGTAAAAGCACAAAGAAATAAATTCATCTAAAACTAGATACATTAAAAACATGTGATAATAACAATAATAACATTCAGATCAGAATCAGAATACCTTTATTAGTCCCACAGAGGGGAAATGTACATTGTTACAGCAGAAAAGAGCCACAGACAGCTTAATGTCACCTAAAGCGTTTGGAGGCGTGTGGTGCAGTGGTTTGTGCGTTGGTGTTCGGATCAGGGTTCAAAGAACAGGTTCAAACCCCACTGCAGTCAGCATGTTGTTGTGTCCCTGAGACACTTCACCCCAAATTGCTCCTGTGGGGATTGCCCACAGTATTGAGTATGTAAGTCGCTTTGGATAAAAGCGTCTAACAAGTGACATGTAATGTAATGTAATGTAAAGCATGCATAAAAAAGTATTAAAGATTAAAAAAATTGAAAAAACGCCATCATGTGCTTCTTGGTATTGAATATCTTCTGTATTTGTATTTATTTATAGAAGGACCATGCATACAAAAACATTAATCTCAGCAAAGAGAAGAGATGCAATGTGCCAGATTATAGCTAATAGCTCATTTCCATCTGTGGTCCTCAGACAGGTTCATAACAATTGTCGAGACGAAAGTCAATATATAATATCTGTGAAAAACTGACTAAAAAATAATTATGTGTTTTCATTTAGAGTATTATTATTATTATTATTATAGTATTGTTCAATACCAGGAGAGGGTATTTGTTTTATTTTGATAAAAGCTAATTTTCATAAGCGAGCTGTAGAAAATAAATGAATGCCGCTTCCGGCAACACGGCTACAAAAGGGGTGTAGTTTGTGATGGCCGGTCTCTTGTTCTCAAAGCCACGGAGAGAGAACCAGGCGACAGTGTGTGTGAGAGGCTCCGGAGATGCCGTTGGTATGTTTATTGTGTTTATGTACTTGATCTGTTGCCGCACTTTGCGAGAGTGCTGTTGCGCAATCAACTTTTTTTTACGCAGCGCGGTCTGCCTGTGCCCCGTTTGGTTCCTGTGCAATTTAGACAGCGCAGGTGTTCAGATGAGGTTTTCTCTGGTGCTTGTTTCCAAGTGGAGATAAACACTCTAATTCATTTAAGTTAATGATGGGGTTTAAAGGAACAATTTATCCTTTTTAATTAAAACATAGTTTGTGGTGCTATTATTGCTATTATTGAGAATGCAGTGAGACCTGCAAAATGTTTGTAATTTGTGTAGCATGTGAGCTAACTTTTGTTTGTCCTTTGTGTTTTGAAGGTTTTCAACCTGATCAATTCTTGGAGCTGTCTTGATAAATAAAGACAAAAATAACGAATTTGAGTTGTCCAAAGCGTCCTCTGTTGCCCTCTAGCCTATCAAGTCAGGCTTAATCACTGGTACAGGCCAAAAAACCTGAAGTACTTGACAACAATCAATAAACAAATAATAACATTGCATGATCTCTATCAGTCAAACAATTTTAAAACCTGATTTAAACTCAGGTTACGAACATAATACTTAGTACACTTCAAATACACTTAAATAAAAATATCTAAGATATAGTATGACAATACAGTTCAAATTGAGAAAACTCAGATTACAGTGTAATTAATGTTGGCATGACTGGTTGCTTAATATCATTTTTTTTGCACCATAGGAAAACGAGTTAAAATCAGTACAGGTTTTAAGTTCAACTGGAAGAGTATTCCAGTGCTTGATGGCCGTAAACGAAAATGCTGATCGTCCAAAGGCAGTGCGCCTCAGAGGGATGGTTAGATCTGCATTTGATGAAGATCTGGAGTTTCTGCAACTCTGTTCACGGCGAAACTGAAAAAAGCCCCTCAACGGTGGTGTTGTAGAATTGTGAATGATTCTGAATACCAATCGAACTCGGGAAAGTAGAACAAGACTATCAAAACTGAAAAGTTTGTATTTGGACAGTATATTGCAATGATGGTATTTTAATGACTTTCTATCCATAACTTTTAAGGCTTGTTTATAAAGAACCTCAAGTGGTCTCATAGCAGTCTTAGTTGCTTGGGACCAGCAGGTTATACAGTAGTGAAAATGTGATAGTATCATGGCATGCAAAAAGGTTTTCGATGCTTCTATGGTTAATGAGTTCCTAATATGTTTAAATTTAAAAATGTTATATTTCAGCTTTCTTGTCATGCCTCTAATATGGCTTTCAAAAGTCAAATTGGCATCCAAGATCACTCCCAAGTATTTGACCTCATTGACGTTTTCAATTATTTTACCATTCACACGAAGCTGTGGATGCGTGGTTGTTTTTTCTTATTCGTGAAATACATTGTCACTGTTTTGTTAGTGTGTAAAGTAAGACACGAGTAATTTAACCATTGAGCAACTTTGTGCAGCGTCAACGAGAGCTTAGAGGCAACCTGTTCAGCATCTTTCCCATGAGTGTAAACCACCGTGTCGTCAGCATACATCTGGAAGTCCACATTCTCACAAACAGATGGGAGATCATTAATATATATGCTGAACAACAGCGGTCCAAGAATTGAGCCTTGTGGCACTCCGATTGAGCATGGCTTAGTTTCTGACAGTTTATCATTTATACGGACACATTGAGAACGACCAGCTAAATAAGACCTGTCCCATTATACTGTGCTAACTGACGGGTTGAAATTGTTGAGTTTTGATAAAAGTTTGGTGTCAAATGCTTTTCGCAGGTCAAGGAACACTGCTCCAACTATCCCTCCTTTGTCTAACTTAGCCTTGATTCCTTCCACTAAATAGCAGCATGCAGTCTCAGTAGAATAATTGGTCCTAAAACCAAACTGCATAGGATGGAGTAGGTTGTTGTAGCTTAGGTGTGACACCAGCTGTTCCGCGACTACTTTTTCAACTACTTTGGACACAACAGATAGAATGCTGATGGGTCTATAGTTGCCTACTTCTTTCTTGTCACCACATTTAAAAATTGGTGTTACAATAGCAGTTTTAAGAGCTGATGGAAATGTATTATCTTTTAATGATTGATTTGTAATATAGGTGATGGAGCTAGCTAAGTCCTTTTTATGTTTTTTTATAAATACTGTGTCTAGTCCCCAGTGATCTTTAGCCTTAGAATTTGATAAGGTGGAAATTATTTTATTCACTTTAGTCTCATTTGTACAGTTGAGTTTGAGCACTTGTGTATCGTCAGCTAATGCAAGAAGCGGTTCTGTTACATTGAAACTGTATTAAAATGGTTGGCCACGGCTAGGCTATCCTGTTGTAGGGTTCCGTTTATCATAAGCTCAGTATTATAATTTGAGTGATCTTTTCCAATAAGTTTGTCAATGGTTTTCCATAGATCTAGAGAATTCCCCTTTGCCTGTCGAATAGTATCTAAAAAGTAATGTGCCCTTGCCTTTCTTAATTGAACTGTAACTTTATTTCTAAGACTTTTGTATATTAAGCGATCTGTTTCTAGTCCCGATTTTAAAGATTTCTTTAGAGCTACATCCCTTTTTTTCATTAATTCCCATAGAGCAGTGTTAAACCATGGTAACAGTTGTTTGCCAATACACTTTTGAGGGATTGTTTTTGTATATTTAGCTACGGTTTGTTTTAAGGTATGTTTCAAATGATCACAGGCCCCCTCACAATTTTCACCATATGTCAAATCAAACCAGTCAGTTTGCGTTATTTCATTCTCCAGAATTCCCATGTCCCGCTTTGGGATGTACGAGATATATTTGTTACCCTTTGTTATATTGTGATTTTTGTAACGCAGCTTGGATAGCTTCCTGGCAACTAGAGTAAGGTTATGATCGGACATGCCAGTAATAAGATTGTATTTTTTTGAGACGCGATCCTCTTTGTTCGTTCAAATTAAATTCAACAATGTTTATGATGATTTAGTAATTCTTGTTGCATTATTAATTAATTGACTCATTTGAAATCTATCACTAATATCCTTTAATTTCTTCCTGCCTTTTTTGTCTAACCAGTTAATATTAAAATCATCCATTAAGATTATTTCTTTACCATTACACTGAGAATACTAGTTAAATTATCATTAAAAACACTCTTTGCTGTAGGTGGTCGATATACAACAATTACATTAAAACACATTTCCTGAGATAGTGAGATAGTTACTCCCACACATTCAGTGGTATCACAGGATAATTCGATTTGTTTTGCAGGCTTTTCTTAACATAAATCATACCCTTACTTTGATTACGATCTAGTCTATAAATGTTATATCCTGGGATATTAACAATATCCGACGGAATTGAAGGGTGTAGCCAGGTTTCAGAAAGGCATACATAATCAAGGTTTGAGTTCGTTAATAATTGCTCCAGTTGTTCCATTTTTGACGTCATGCTTCTGATATTTAAGTGTCCACCGAAAATGCCCTTAGGTTTGATATTTGAGTTCCATAACACCTTTGCATGATTTACAGTTTGAAACATTTTGGTGTCATGTTGTTTTGTCTTCAAATCGCTGCAAATAGTGCGCTAAAAGTTAGAGTGTCATTTGCCACCGGGTGCGTGAGATGATCGTTCAGAAGTGGTGACAGAGTTACCTTGTTGAATTGTATCATAAAGCTCCCCTTGGACTGGAGGAACAGGCACCGGTGTGTCGTTGATACGAAGCCTGGGTCCGCAGGTCAGATGCGGGGTCTCTCCGGACAACGCACAGCTCTGCGTGGCTCGGGTCCAGCTGATTGAATCACAGCCGCAGCTCCACAACCGCATGACGCCACCCCTGTCATCGCCACGGAAACCGAGCGAGGAACAAAGTGCTATCCCCGCTCAGAATCAGCATGACGCAGCAAAATCCAGCGAACCCTCCGTTTCCAGACATCAAGGTCCTGTTTCTATTGTGAACCGACTTTGGAAACTGAGCCACAGCCTGCCCGCTTTTGAGAATTTTGGAGTATATAATATATTGGCTCCATGAGTCGAGGAAGCCAGGCGGCTTCCCTGCACTCTCAGCACAGCATACCGAGCGCACAGAGGCCGCAAACCAGGCGCTACACATAGGTAAGAGAGCAATCATCAGTAGGCCTATGTTTGTTATTAGAAGTCCAATATACATCAGATCACATTTCCTTCTTACACCAGCCGACTGTGATGATTTGTGTATTCCTGCTTTACTTGCTTTACTTGGTCGATGGTCGTGAAGTTTCCTAGTGTGTTTGGTTTGGAAAGGTGGAAGAACAGCACCTGCAAGGCTGTGAGCCACATCCGCCATTTTTTAATCAAAAAAATCTTGAAATGTTACTCACTGCAGTTTATTTAGACTAGGTTTATGAAGAAAACGTGTTATTACCGGGAACATGAGTGAAAAATAGTCACGTGGGATTAATTGAGTCGGGGTGATTAACGCAAAAATGTCGTCATTGAAAACTGTTCTTCATGTTCTCCGTAGCCGTTCTTCTGACTGTTTCCAAAGAGTTGAGGGACAGAAATTGAACCTCATGCAGGATTACGGGGCTGAACGCACTGCCATTTGTTGAGAAGACGATATTCCCTCATGGACCTGGAAGATAAACAGGGAGAATACTCTTGTTATAGAACCAACAATCACTGTAAACAGAGATCTCTTAAAAAATTACTAATAAGTTACACAAAAGTTCAATGTGATGTTCAGAGAGATATTTATATTCCTCAACCCTTCCATTGGTGGGTTTATTTATTTAAAATATATAATATGTAACATTTCCTTATTCAAATGTCAAACGATTACCCTATGGTATTTAAACATTATCCTCCTAACCTATCAGGCTCTCCTCTCCTCTTTCTCTGCTTCGATCTCTCAGGCAAAAAGCACTTTCTTTCAAGATAAGATCCAATCTTCCTATTCCAATCCCGAAAAACTATTTTCCATCTTCTCCACCCTCTTGGACCCTCCCAAAGCCCCTCCCCCCTCCTCACTTCTGTCAAGCGACTTTGTTATTCACTTTGAAAAAAAGGTTGATATTTGCTCTTCTTTTTCTGACTCACCTTTACTCACCGCTGGGTCACCAGACCCTCCTTTCACCCACACACTAACCTCCTTTTCCCCTCTCTCTCCAAGTGAGGTTCTTACCCTCATTACCACCTGTCCTCTGGACCCTATCCCTTCAAACCTCCTTCAGACTATCGCTCCTGATATTCTACCGTTTCTCTCCCATTTCATCAACACTTCTCTAACTTCTGGTCACTTTCCAAACAGTCTCAAGGAGGCAAGAGTAAACCCTCTCCTAAAGAAACCCACTCTCAACCCGTCTGATGTTATAAACTACAGGCCTGTCTCTCTACTCCCATTCCTGTCTAAAACACTTGAACGCGCTGTCTTTAAACCAGTCAGACAGATAAGTCTGGTTTCAAGGCAGGTCACTCCACAGAAACTGCTCTCATTGCTGTCACGGAGGAACTGCACACTGCCAAAGCAGCATCCCTCTCCTCTGTCATCATCCTGTTGGACCTGTCTGCTGCATTCGACACGGTGAATCATCAGATCCTCCTTCACACTCTCCAAAAACTTGGAGTTTCAGGCTCTGCACTTTCCCTCCTCACCTCATACCTCAAAGACCGTACCTACAGGGTAACTTGGAGAGGGTCTGAGTCCGACCCTTGTCAATTAACTACAGGGGTCACTCAGGGCTCTGTTCTTGGTCCCCTCCTCTTCTCCTTGTACACAAACTCGCTCGGATCAGTCATTAGCCCGCATGGTTTTTCATACCACTGCTACGCTGACGACACCCAATTAATTCTGTCCTTTCCCCGCTCAGAGACCCAGGTCGTCGCACGCATCTCTGCTTGTCTAGCTGACATCTCTCAGTGGATGTCTGCTCATCACCTCAAGCTCAACCTTGACAAGACTGAGCTGCTTTTCCTTCCGGGAAAAGATTGTCCCACTCTTGACCTGACTATCAACATCGGCACCTCTGTTGTTTCCCCGACTCAGACTGCAAGGAATCTGGGTGTGATCCTTGATAACAACCTGTCCTTCTCTGCAAACATCGCTGCTACAACCCGTTGATGCAGATACACGCTTTACAACATCAGGAAGATACGTCCCCAGCTGACACAGAAAGCGACGCAGGTTCTGGTCCAGGCTCTCGTCATCTCACGCCTAGACTACTGCAACTCCCTCCTGGCTGGTCTACCTGCATGTGCTATCCGACCTCTGCAGCTCACCCAGAATGCAGCGGCTCGTCTGGTGTTCAACCTTCCTAAATTTTCACACACCACTCCGCTCCTCCGCTCCCTTCACTGGCTTCCGGTAACTGCTAGAATCCACTTCAAGACACTGGTACTTGCTTACCATGCTGCGAATGGATCTGGCCCTTCGTACATCCAGGACATGGTTAAACTGTACACCCCAGCGCGTGCACTACGCTCTGCATCAGCCAAACGACTCGCTGCACCCTCGCTGCGAGGGGGACCCAAGTTCCCATCAGCAAAAACACGTGGGTTTGCTATCCTGGCTCCAAAATGGTGGAATGAGCTCCCCATTGACATCAGGACAGCAGAAAGCCTGCACGTCTTCTGGCGCAGACTGAAAACTCATCTCTTTCGACTCCACTTCGAGCGATAGAATCACTAACAAAGAACTGCTAACAAAGCACTTATATAATAATAAAGGACTGGCTTATCTATAGCCAGTTGAGTAGCACTTGAAATGTTTGGCTCTATGAAACCTGATGTACTTATATGATTCTGTTTTCTTCAAGGTTGTGTCTTCCTGGTCAAATGTACTTATTGTAAGTCGCTTTGGATAAAAGCGTCAGCTAAATGCAATGCAATGTAATGTAATGTAATTATTTGTGAGTTGTGTTCATCCAATACCTGTTCTTTCACACAAGTGAAAAGCTAGCATTAGGCTATAAAGGAACTGCATCACAGTCACATGGTTTAACATCACAGCCAATGAGGAGATGAGTTTCTCCGTGATCAGCGTGATGACGTTATTATGAATTTAGCCACTCGTTAGAACCGCCTGTTTAAAGACACTCTTTGAGCTTTATATTATTTAATAGTTAAACATTTATTTTCTTGCTGTTTTTGTGTATATTGAAGGTATTATTATTTAGTGGCGTTATTGCAGTGAGTTAAAGGCATTTTGAAGGCATGTTTGGGCACTGGGTGTAATTGTATATATTGGAGACAGGTGGTGGTGGAGGGAGTAGAGCACTAGTAGGCTCATGGGCTGCGGTCCAATTATCCGTTTAGTTTAGGAACCTTCCTAACAGAGTGAAATGACCCGGAAGAACCTCAGTGACCGCCATGATAAGAGCTGTTGGAATTCTCTAGATCAGAGGTCTTCAACTAAAATTCAACGAGGTCCAGTTAGAGAAAATCTCCCCATGCAAAGGTCCGGAACCTCAAAATGTCTAAGTTGCTTCATGAATTAGTGTGATATATATAGAAGTGTCCTGTAGCTTTATCAACGTCTGCATGTAATCAACAACTGACTGCCAATCAAATAAAGAAAGTACAATTCAAAAACAACAATATTTATAGTCAATTAACATTGAACTATACAGATATACAGTAAATACTGTGGATATGTGTAATGTTCCTCTCGGGCTGCATTTACAAATAACATAGAGAAAATAAATAAAATAGCTTTTGAAAATGTGTGCATCTTAAAAGTGCTTAATTTTAGATAAATAAAATAAAGTGTAGCAGCAGCTTGAGTTTCCCTTTGTCTTTGTTAACCGTTTCACATCATGACTTAACAGTTTCAGACGATTATAGAACAATATCAGTCTTTCTTTACACATCATAACAATTTAACAGTTTTAAAGTTTCTCTTTCTTTCCCTCTTATAGTGCAGCCCCTCACTCGCTTTTTTTAAATTCAGTGTGAGAATTGAGCTTGTCCTGCCAGGAGTTTAGATCTGGGCCGACATGGAGTCAGGGCCATTCTCATACACATGCAGGTGCTCATTGGTTACAGTGATGCAAACACAGGTATGGTGAAAAAAGAGAGAACTATTCCAAGCAGAACAAAAACAGCGTAATATACCATCTGACAAAGGCCTGCGCTATAATGCTTCAATTAACTGCTATTCTTTATAATATACTCAGATCAATAGGAGACAGATGTTAAGTCATAAATCGAGGGTTTTTATTATTATTTACAGCAGGGGTGGGGAACCTTTTTCCTTTCAATTTTTACAACATCCTCCGAGGGTCGTACAAATGATTGAACTCAACCTCTGCTTAAAAAAACTAAAATCACAGCCCATTCATTTCACCTTTCTTTCATGCTGTGCAAAGAAAAGGCAACCTCTTAATCCAGATATCTCACCATGACTCACGTATGCATGCATATGCACGGTGTGGCGTGACCACCAAAACAGAAAGATATGGACACAAGATGTGTGCAAATGTATTTAGTATCCTATCCATGTGAACATGATTTAAGTGGGGGGGACCTAACCTACTCTAGGGGGGTCCCCCGGGAAGATTTTTTTTTAAATATTGAAGTTAAAAGCATCAATCTGGTGCACTTTGAGAGCAACATTAAGAGATCTATGGATACATCTCTCAACACCCATATGAAACAGAACTGTAAGCATATTTTTCTTTTTGGATATTTTACAAATCACTCCCATTTTAAACTCTATTCTTGTTATTTTTAACAACTTTTTTGTTACTGTCATATAGTATTTTATAGCTGTTTTTCATTTAGTCTCATTAATAACTATATTGATCATATCAAGGTGTGCCTTAACCTCACTGAGCTGAGGTTATTTGAGCCTCTCAGGAGAGAGCTCTCTTCCACCTGGTTGTAGAAAAGCTCTTAAAATTCGTTAGCATAGCTAGCTAACCAGATGCTAATAACAACAGATCGCCACTGTGCTTACAACTAAAGACACAGCCACGCAAACACTGCGGCATGTGTACGGCTCCTTATGGGTATTGCAATATTTTAAGGGCTGGAGCAGGGTTCCGGTGCTCTCTGTCAGCACTCCTTTCAGACGAGACATATACCACGTGAAGACACGTTACGCTCGTGTTGTGTTCAAGGAACCTGTCCTTGGCCAGGAAAAACAGGTACTCACTTGTTTAATTATGTTTGCGGTCTAGATTTCTTCTTCTTTTTTGAAGTGAGAAGTTGTCCGTCAGTCAGACTGACGGACGGACTCCCCACCCCCCACCCGCAAAACGAAAACTTTTCTGTTCTCCACGAATTATACAAGTCACCCAAATCAGCGTTAAAAAAGCGGGAGGCGTCCCCTATTAATGTATTGATTATAGCTCCGGGTCCGTATAGGTCGGCGTCTGGGTCCGGACCGCGGTCCGCCTGTTGCCGATCCCTGCTCTAGATGATAGGAAAGGAGGTTTGAAACGTCCTTTATAATCTCCTTTAGCTTAGGAAACACTGGACCTTCCTTTACGAAAGGAAAGGAGAACATGCTGCCCTAGCGGCCGCAACATTTACCGTGACTCAACATTGTATCATGAAAGTTACGGTGCTTATCAAGCATTTTACTTGCCAAAGGGCTTTGTTTTGAACGTCCAACACTATGATAATCAAAAGGAG